AGAGAGAGAGAGAGAGAGAGAGAGAGAGAGAGAGAGAGAGAGAGAGAAACTCGGAGGAAGAAACAGCGTGAACCGGTTGTCAAGGATAGCTCAGGGAGGATTCGGAATAGGACTCACGTTTTCCACCTCGTCGGATAGGTCTTCGAAGGATGCTATCGGCGCTGGTCCAAGTTTCCTCTGATGAGCGCTCGGCAATCCTGACGCCATTTTCGAGTGCTCAGATCACGGTGATGCTGGAAAAACGTGAAAAGTCGAAAGGGCGAGTCTTTTTTAATACGTACCGGCTAAACTTTCGCGTAAAACTTGGAGTTTTTAAAAACGCTTTCCGCCGCTGCAGCAGCGGCATGGAAAAAAAAAAACACGTGTCGCGAGGGTCGGTTATCACGTTCGCTTGCCGTTATTACACGGTGGTTCTCGCATTATGTAATAACGCCAACAGGTATATCGCACGATACCTCATGCCGAGATTTCTCGCTTGATAAACCTTGAGAAATTGCTCGTAACGCTGCCTACAATGAACATCAAAGCTATTTGCGTGACACTTTTCACTTTACAAAAGATTCATCCGACACGTCGCATGTGTCAAGATTTCAATTGTCACTCGTCGATTAATTAATGTCCAAGTAGTAGCTCTGCTTGTAGTACAAAGTATCGGTTTTATTCACTCTATGTGGATTAACTGAATGGAGAAATAACTTTCGCGAGATCTCCCGAGCATATAGATTACCGCACACACCAATGTGTAAACTGATGACGAAAATAGCAAAACACACTGTGCTGACAAAATTGCGAGTTGCCCATGCCTGCGACTGTTCGTTACAAGCGGTTAATTGTTGGTAGCGTTAAAACATTTGAGCGAAGGGCGCCGTTTATTAGAGCACACGACGTCGTTCGCGCGCAATGTAGCATCGGGGACATTTGCTTGTGCATATTCAGCGATTGTTTAAAAGCCTACTCAAATAACGTTGTGTGACTGCGCACGTGTGCAAAATATACGACATAAAATGAGAGTGTATTATGTGGTGATTTAATGATATATTAATTATATCGAAGGCTGAATTAATCCGAATGCTTTATTCTTACGCTTTGAAAATTTCAAAAGTACCAAAAATGATATATTAACATTTCGACGAGGACTGAAATCCGAGAGACAGGGATTCGGTAAATTTAAGCTATTCCCGCGTGCAATTTATCTAGTCTCTCTTTTCTTTCTTGCTAGGATGGACACGCGAAGAAACGAGCAAAGGGTTGCGTTTCCCAGTCGCAATTACTCTTGAATGCCGTCTTTTCGGTACGCGATAGTATGTCTCGAGATAGCGCTGACATGAAAGAGCCTCTTAGATTAAACTATAAACTGGTAGATATAAAACTTGTTGTCGAGCAACAATAACGTTTTTTTTTCTCCCACCTCGAGACCGTTCGCGCTTAACGAGACCTATTTACTTCCGCATCGAATAGAGTCGTCTCAATAATGTCGGTGATTATAAAGGTGACACACGCGAGTCACCAGAGATATTACGTTCACCATAAGAATTACATTAATTGCGTATTCTGTTTTATGTCATCGTGTAGAAGTAGCAATCGCATAGGAGAAATTAATTTTTTAGTATTAGTACAAAGAGAGATTATTTGAAATATATTTTGTCAATGCGTCAAGAAACATGTGTTCGTGTATAAAAGTCTCACATGAGATGTGGTTACTCTGGCCGATCGTAACGCGGAATTCACTTTCGTGGGTAAGTCAAACATATTTTTCTTTCCCGACGTAGTTCGAGTCGGCGTGTTTCAGTTTGAACGTGCTTTTTAAATTTTAATGGCGGTTTATTTATGTTCAAGTCTGCACATTTTAGCCGCAGAAAAAGAGCGAAGATAAATTCGAAACGCTTCCAAAGTGTTAGCTCTATTTGCTGTGTAACTTGATAATGCTCTCTTAAAGTGAATCAGTGAGTAGTCACTAATATCAGTTATAAGTACAGCACTGAGCACTTTCAGTGCATATTAACTGTTTTCAGTTATGTTTGACTGATTCATTTTAAGAGAATACATACATCTGCACAAATTAACGTAGTTGGTTGAAAGTACAAAGCAGCCACTCGCTTTTCGCGTTTAACATTATTTGTGACGGCAGTAAACGATGAGAATCGTCGAGAACGTCATCGGTCTAAAATATTGAGTATTGGATTAAAAAATTGCTCAAACGCTAGTGTGACTGTCGGACTGTAGTGACAAACGCGCATGATTCGAGCAGTTCAATCATCGGTAGAGAGAGAGAGAGAGAGAGAGAGAGAGAGAGAGAGAGAGAGAGAG